AAAATAAAAAAAGATTGCCTTGTCTTCCATCTAGAAGCACTTACCAGACTGTGGTGCAGAGAAGAAAAAAAAGAAAAAGAAAAAGAAAAAGAAAATCAAGCATCATACATCTCAGTGAGATAAGGAGATGACTGAAAGTCAGTATCTCTGAAATGAGCTGTAAGCTAACAATTCCCAAAGATCACAAAAGGCTGGGAGACATGTGAGCTCTGGTCATCCGGTCATCATGTGAACCTGGGACATTCAGTGGAGTTCCCATTTGGCCATAGGAGTTGTCCTAGAGAAAAAATTATCCTGGACCCAACCTAATAGCAATTAAGAACAAACCTCTTAAGAATCAATCTTATCCACAATAACTTGATGGACTGTTAGGACACCCAAATAAAAACCTGATAGTCAACACTGTAATCATCAAATGTCCATTATTCAACTGAAAATCAGTAAACATGTGAAGCAGGAAAGTATTTACTGAATAACCACAGAAAAATCAGTAGGAGGAGCCCAGAAACAGAAAGAAGGCTGCAATTAGTAGACAACTATAAAATAACAATTATGTACTTTCAAAGATATAAATAAGCACATGCACAATGAAGAAATTAGTTATTAGAAATAGGTAGAATTTTATAATTGAAATATATACTTAAAAATTTTAAGTCATTGGAGTAATAATAGCAGGGGAAATGGTTAGGGAGTGGCAGTCTATCAAGCAGTCTATCAAGTCAAAGTTCCAGGAAAAGAGGTCATGGTACAAAAGATCTGAAAAAAAAAAAAGGCTGAAATACAGCTTTGATAAAAACTATCAATCCACGAAGAGAGTAAATAACCACAAGAGTGGGAGTAGGGAGTGGGAAGTAGGAAAAGGCTGGAAGGAGTTGGCGGGGGGGTGGGGGTGGCTGGTGGCATTTGAGGACCTCTGCCCTTCACTGGCTATGGCCAGATCCTAAACCTCAGGACTCGGGTCAGATTCTATTGCTAAAGACATTTACAAGTTTTCCACAAAGTGGTTTAAATGGAACCTGGTCTGAGTGGAAACACAGAAATGCAAATTCCTGAATCTCACCTCATACCTACAGAATCAGACAATGTTAAGGAGCAGCTGTGCCCAAAGGCCAGGCAAACTACAGGACTAAAACTGAGAGAACGCACCTGGACACTGGTTGGGCTAACTACACTAAGTTCTTTAAAAAGTCCCTGGAAGGGGCTGGAGAGACAGCTCAGTGGTTAAGAGCACTAACTGCTCTTGTAGAGGACCCAGGTTTGATACCCAGCACCCACATGGCTGCTAACAACTGTTCATTAAGTCCAGTTCCAGGGGATCTGACACCCCCTTCTGACCACCACAGGCATACTTACATACATTCAGGCAATACACTCATACACATAAAATAAAAATAATAAACAAAATATATAAAATCCTCCCAAACTAGCAGCTCAAGTGCCATGGCCCCCTATTTCCTGAGCTACCCTCCTTCTCTTTCTCTTTCACTTAAGCTCCCATTCATGAATCTATAATAAACTTCTGTTTATTTTTTAAATTTCAAATCATTGCATAAATTTAGCTGATTATAAATACCAAGCTCACTAAACTCTGAGAAGACAATAGAAACTATGTAAACTCAAGTGGTAAGGAGAAAAGGACTGAAAAAAAGAAAATGAAAGATTTAGTGGCAGTCTATCAAGCAGTCTATCAAGTCAAAGTTCCAGGAAAAGAGGTCATGGTACAAAAGATCTGAAAAAAAAAATGGCTGAAATACAGCTTTGATAAAAACTATCAATCCATGAAGAGAGTAAATAACCACAAGAAAGTTAAACACAAAGGAAATCAGAGTACATAACAAATTGTTGAAAGCCAATTAGAAAAGACATAAGATACAAAGGAGAACAAAACAATTTTAAGACAGCTATGGTAGCACAGACCTATAATCCTAGGATTCAGAAGACAAAGGAAGGAGGATCACACAGCAAGTTCAAGACTAGCCAGGGCTAGATTAAATAGTGAGTTCTAGGCCAGCCAGAGCTTCATAGTAAGATCCAGTCTCAACAAAACAATAAAAAACAAAATAAAACAATAAAACTAAAACTAAGAAAACAATAGAATGGTACTTTTAGGTGTTGAAAAGATAGGAAAAATAATCAATTTAGAACTCCCTATTTATCCAGTGACAATATCCTTCAAAATAAAAGACTCTGGACATTTCCTACAAAGCTAAACATACTCCTACCAAATAATTCAGCAATTACGCTCCTTGGTATTTACTTAAAAAACTAAAAAATATGACCACAAAACCTAAACAGGAATGTTATCAGCTTTTTTTCATAACTGCAAAAACTTGGAAGGAAGCAAAGTAAGATATCCTTCAGTAGCTAACCAAATAAGCTGTGGTACAAATCAGATAATAGAGTATTACTCAATACTAAAATGAACCTCAAGTCACAAAAAGAGAAGCGTAAAATGTATACCTCTCTGGGGCCAGATGTTGATAATGAAAGAGGTTATGTATATATGGTAGCAGGAGTGTATGGGGAACTCTGGACTCTCATTTCCTTCAGTGTTTGATCTAGTTTCTGCTCAATTTTGCAGTGCCAAAATAGAACTAAAATTACTCAGTTTTTAAAAGGGATAATTACCTTTTTCAGACAAACACAAGCTCAGCAAATTCATCATTGGTAGGTCTGAAATACTAGAAATACTAAAGGAAATTCTTCAGGTACATTTATATGAAAGAACAAGGAGTGTTGGAAATGGTAAGCAGTGGATAAAAACAGGACCTTGCTACAAATTTCAAAGTTTCCTTTAACACTATACTGGACTTTTTTGGTTTGTATGGGGTGCTAAGGATTGAGCCCGGCCTCATACATGCTAAATATTTGTACTATCACCAAAGAGGATCTCCCAGCTCTAACCTGAACTCTAACCCCAGGTATACGCCACCATTAACAGACAGTAAGGTAAATAGTAGTAATATATTGTAGTGTTTGCAACATGTGAGAAAATGACAATAAAAGCACAATGGACAGAAGCCAAGTGAAATATTAAGTATGTTCTTATTTTTTTTTTTGCTTTATTTTTATTTTATGTATATGAGTATATTGCATGCATTATGCAAGTACACATGTGTCATGCAATGCCCGTAGAGGACAGAAGAGGGCGTCAAATCCCATGGAACTGGAAGTGGAGTTAGCCACCATGTGGGTGCTGGGATCTGAACTTGGGTCTTCTGCAAGAACAGCCAGTGCTCTTAACTGCTGAGCCATCTCTCCAACCCCCCCCCCCTTTTTTGGTCTTTTTGAGACAGGGTCTCCCTATAGCTCCAGCTGGCCTTAATCTCACAGAGATCTGCTTGCCTCTGACTCCTCACTGCTGGAATTAAGGTGTGTGCCATCACTCTTGGCAGAGATGGCAGGGTTTTAAAAAAAAGATTTAGGGGCTAGAGAAATGGTTCCGTGGTTAAGAGCACTGACTATTCTTGTAGAAGACCTAAGTTCAAATCCCAGCACCCCCATGGCTGCTAACAACTGTCCGTAACTGTCTGTTTTGGGGGATCCAACACCCTCTTTTGACCTTCACGGGCACTGCATAACATGAGTACACTTACACACATATAGGCATAAAAAAATTTTTTTTTTTTTGTTAAGGTTTTAAAAAAAACTAGTGAATGTGTGTGTGCATGTGAGTGCAGGTACACATACCATGGCATGCATGTAGAGGTCAGAAACCAACTTTGGGAAGTTGGTTCTATCCTTTCACCATGAAATCCTGAGATGAAACTCAAGTCACTAGGCTCATGCTGCAAGTGCTTTACCCCTGCCCTAATTTCCTTTTAATATTACAATCCTCTCCCTCTACCAGTCAAAAAAACACAAAACACTGTAATTTTCAAACCTTACCATTATGATTCAGATCTTAATAAACATCACTTAAAGATCACAGTTTGAAGGCTTGGTTGCCCGTCTATGGCACCTACAAGGAGGGCCTACATAGAGGAAATTTGGTTACTGGGGATATGATCTTAAGGGGTATTATGATGGTTAATCTTCATAATCAACTTGATTGGATTTAGAAACACCTGTAGAAACATGTTTCTGGCTGTATCTATAAGGGTGTTTCCACAAAGGTTTAACTGAGCACTGAAGACTTACCCTCAATGTGGGCAGGAACATCCACTGGCTGGGGTTCCAGACTGTGGATGCAATTTGAACAGCTGTCTCACATGGTGGACTATACCCTGTTTCTGCCTCCCACCTCGATGTAGGAGACCTGGGATTACAGATATGTGGCACCATCCTCAGCATATTACTTTGGTTTGGGGGAATCAGAACTCAGGTTGCCAGGTTTGCTTAGCAAACACTTTACCCACTGATCTATCTCCCGGGCCCCTTTGGTAAGTTTTTACATTAAGCTCATTCCAGATCCACCAATCTCAAAATAAGACAACATTAAACTATACCATCCAAGTAAGTATTAAGTTTAAAGAATCAAAACAGTTAAGATGTGGTAGTACATGCTTGTAATCCCAGTACTTAGGACAAGAGGATCACTAGTTGGCGGCTAGCTCGGATGTACAGTAAGACCCAATCTAAAAAATAAACAGTTAAAGTACTGGAAAAAAGAAACCATGTATATACCTCACTATCAAGAAAGAGAATTAATGTCCTAAAAGAAGTTATGAAAGAGTATGGATACTGTGATTGCCTTAGAGCCTCTCATTTCTTGTTTTGCCTTCTGTTACTGTTATTAGTAACAGTATTAGTTTTCATAATCGGTTTTTTCAAAACCCTTCTAAATATATTCCTCAAATGAGTAAGTAGCTGATACATATCTGAGTGCTTGAAAGTCTAAAAATATTAGGTCTTTCTCTTTGATTTCAATCTCCCCTTTGACACAAGAACTTTCACATACTCTTCAGGAAGAAGGAAAAAAGAATATCAAGACTATGTGGCTACAAGCCTTACAGGACAGACACTCAGATGATCAAGACACATGTATAAGTTACACTTACCTTCATGGGGTTTTCATCATACGTTGGGGTTCCCAGATCCATTTCAGCTTCATGTTCAAGGCTAGCATCATCTCCTGGGCTTTCCCAAGTAGGAGGATCCCACTGAGTCTGCCTAGAAGGAGGGAAGAATAGCCATGCTGCCATAGGTAGAAAACAACCCTGGCAAAGCATTTTTCAAAAAATGTGCCCAGAAGAATGCTTAGCAGTTAAGGGCACTTGCTGCTATTGCAGAGGACCCACTTTAGTTCCCAGCAGCCACATGGCAACTAATAACCGCCTGTAACTCTAGTTTTAGGGATCCAACTCCCTCTTCTGACCTCCATGGGCACTGCATGACACAAGTGTGCTTACATACATGCAGACACTCAAAAATAAATATTAAAGGGATGGGGACTAGAGAGATCAGCACTTAAGAGTACTGGCTGCTCTTGCAGAGGACAGAGTTCAGTTCTCAGCATCCACACGGTGTCTAACAACCATCAGTAAATCCAGTTCCAGGGGATCCAATGCCCTGTCCTGACCTCCACAGGCATTGTACAAGACAGGTACACTTACATACAAGCAATATACTCATATATGTACAATTAAAATTTAAGTTTTGTGTAATATGGGGCTGGAGAGAGAGTGTAGTGGCTAAGAGCACTGGCTGCTCTTGTAGAGGACTCAGGTTCAATTTCCAGCACCCACATGGAAGCTAACAACCATCCATAACTCCAGTTCCAGAGGATCTGACACCCTCTTCTAATTTCCATGGGCATTACACAACGGGGTGAACTTACATATAAGCAGGCACGTAAAATAAAAATAATTTTTGCTGGGTGTGGTGTCACACGCCTTTAATCCCAGCACTTGGGAGGCAGAGGCAGGTGGATCTTTGTGAGTTCGAGGCCAGCCTGGTCTACATAGTGAGTTCCAGGACAGCTGGGGCTACAAGGACACCCCGTCTCAAAAAGACAAAAAAAAAAGTAACGCGGTCAGGCACTGTGCCTTTAACTTCAGCACTTGGGAGGCACAGGCAGGTGGATCTCTGTGAGATCAAGGCCAGCCTGGCCTACATATGGGGCTACAGGGAAACCTTGTCTAAACAAAAAATGTAATATACAGGGCTAGATGGATGGCTCAGCAGTTAAGAGCACTGGCTGCTTTTACAGAGGACCTGGGTTTGATTCCCAGCACCCACATGGTGGCTGACAACCACCTGTAACTCCAGTTCCAAGGGAATCTGATGCTCTCTTCTGACCTCTGGGGGCATTGCATGACATGGGGGCACTTTCACACATGCAGGCAATACACCCATACACAAATTTTTTTTTTTTTAATTTTAATGTAGGGGCTGGAGAGATGGCTCAGTGGTTAAGAGCACTGGCTGCTCTTGCAGAGGCCCTGGGTTCAATTCCCAGCACCCACATGGTAGCTACGAACTGTCCTTAACTCCAGTTCCAGGGGAATCAGAAGCCCTCTTCTGACCTCCACAGCATTGCATGACACAGGTGCACTCACATTACATTAAAAAATTTAATGTAATATGCAATAGGACAAAGAGTAAGTCAGCACTGTGAAGAGTGAGATACTTCAGAGAGCTTTTCATTAGCCATTACTCTAGCCTAGAGATATACTCCTAAGATTATTTATCCCATCGCACTTCTGAGGGTAATGATGTGGTAATACTGGTTGAGTATTGAAGATAGCAAGGAAACCAAACATCTTGTCTGCTTCTCAACTGACTCAATGTCCTGGATATATACTGGATTTAGTACATGGACTAGAGGAAGAGATCAATAGCTACTATACCTATTATGTGCTTGGAACAAAACAAATCACAACACAACCCTCTCAGTCCTTGAGCATAGTTTATGAGTCTTGTTTATAATTCTGCCCTTTAATTTAAAGACTGGCAAAAAGAATGTACAGTCCTAGCACTTGGGAGGCAGAGGCAGGCAGATATCTGTGAGTTTGAGGCCAGCCTGGTCTACATAGTGAGTTCCACTCACTATGGGAGAGAGAGAGAAATGAGAGAGAGAGAGAGAGAGAAAGGGGGGGAGGGAGGGAGGGAGGGAGGAAGGGGGAGAGAGAGGGAGAGGGAGAGGGAGAGGGAGAGGGAGAGAGAGAGAGAGTGTGTGTGTGGGAGAGAGAGAGAGAGAGAGAGAGAGAGAGAGAGAGAGAACAAAAAACAATATACCCAAAATAACAAGATGGATGATTCCTGAAGAAAAAAAACCCTAAGTAGACCTTGGGTGATGACATGCACACATAAAACCCCCACACATGTGTACCTACATATACCCCCTCTACACATATATACACTGCTGCCAGGTGTGATTCTAGAAATTCAGTAGCCCTTTTTCACAATGGGAAGCCAATAAATGTAAGACTTTATGTGGGAAGTGAGCCTAACCAAACAAAAGCAGATAGGGAGATGCCCAACAAGGCTTTTCTTACCTTGTGATTACATGGTAGTAATAAATCTTCCCTTCAGGATCTCGTGCTGTCTTCCAGTTGGGGGGCAAGACAATGGTTTTTGGTTTTGGAGGAGAGGGGGGAGGCAGATCCAGCAGATTATTTGTTACAACCATTTCAGGCTAAAAAAACACATAGTTTTATCAGAGATATTTCCTTCAATCTGTCACAATATGATAAAATGCCTACTTAATATAAAACAGTGTACATCTAGTTCCCCTTAAAAAGATAAAGGAAAGGCATATTAGGAAATGGTTAATAAAACAATACATATGAAATCTTTAGAGATCTTCCCAAGTTCACAACTGAAGAGAAAATACAAATAGTGTTAAATAACATATAACAAGTCCAGGATACTGATTAGCTGAAAGGGCTTTAGGCAGACCTCCACCTTAAAATCCAAACCAAAGCGGACAGAATGATAGCATTTTATCGACTATATTTTTTCTATACTTTTCTTCATGGTTGAAATTTCAGAACTCTGTGTGTGTGTGTGTGTGTGTGTGTGTGTGAGTGTGTGTGTGTGTGTGTGTGTGTGTGTGTGTGGTGTGTGTGTGTGTGTGTGTATGTGTGTGTGTATTTTTTTTTAACGTGCATGAATGTATTGCCTCCATGTGTGTAAGTGCACCTGTGTTGTGCAGTGCCCACAGGTCAGAAGAGGGCGACAGATCACCTGGAACTGGAGTTACCAATGGTTGTTAGACATCATGTGGATGTTCAGATTCAAACTCATTATGCTCTGCAAGAGCAGCCAGTGTTCTTAATCACTGAGCTATCTCTCCAAGTCGCATAACTATCTTTTAAACCATAATATTACACCTTGAAAAACTTAATAATTGGGGCTAGAGAGATGGCTCAACAATTAAAAGTACTTAATTGCTCTTGTAGAGGACCAGGGTTCAGTTCCCAGCATTCACATGTTGACTCACAACCACCTGTAACTGCAGGTCTGGGGAATGTGACGCCCTCTTCTGGTCTCTTTAGGATCACATACGCATGTAGTACACATAAACTCACACAGGCACAGACATACATAAAAATGTCTTTTTTTGTGTGTGGGTGTGTGGTCTTTTCTGAGACAGGTAGCCCCCACTGACCTGGAACTCACTATGCGGATCAGGCTGGCCTTGAACTCACACAGATCTGCCTGTCTCTGCCTCCTGAGTGCTGGGACTAAAGGCCGCCACCATGCCCAGCTAAAAAATGAGTAAGTCTTAAACAACAACAACCAACAATCACTATAGTGAACCAAAGTGTTTCCCTGAAATTCACATGCTGGAGCCCTATTTCCATTGTGTCCTTACTGGGAGATAGGGCCTTTAAAGAGGTAATCAAGGTTCTATGAGGTCATGAGTAGGAAGACAACAACAGAGGATGCTGGGGGGGAGGGGAGCATGTGAGAACACAGTAAGAAAGCAGCTGGCTACAAGCCAGGTAGAGAGGCCTCAGTTAAAAAAAAAAACAAAAAACCTAGCTGTCACCTTGATCTTGGACTTTCAGACTCAAAATGGTAGAAAATTAATTTCTGTTGTTTAAGACACCTAGTCTATGGTATTTTGTTATAGCAACCCTAGAAGACTAATCACTGAATATAAATCTGTCAATGTTTCAACTATGTAAACCAATTAATGAAGAATAATTTTTCAGCTTTACTTTTGCTTGAATTTTGCTTTAACAAAATAAAATCATTACTAAAGAGAAACCTGAGGCTCCAGATTCAGACAAAATGTTCTCACTTTATGCAAATATGAATCTGTGAGTATTCTTATAGTGTACATTCTCTAGTTTATTCCTATCCTTAGTCTAGTTGAAGTTTTGAGCCCAGCTTAAAACTTGTTTTATTCCTGAAGGTCTTGATTTAGTCAAATTAAAAAATACCTCTTTTCTCTAAACTTCTATGTCTCAAGAATATTCCAAGCTATTAGTGATTGCTAAAGTACTAACCATTCTTCCCCTACTTAGAAAGAATCCTGTCCCTCCTTAAATCCTTAAAATCTTTTTGAGACTAGTTTGGCTTGGAACTCACTATGTAACTGAGGCTGGCCTCAAATTCATGTCAACTCTGTGTCTATCTCCCACCTCTCCTGCCTCCATCTCCCAAGTGCCAGGATTAGAGGTGTGACCCACCTCATTCAGCCCTTATCTGTATCTTTTATGACTCTAAACTCAGACTACTTTTAATATCATTAATTGTGACCACCATCTCTCTTATTTGGAATGTCAGTTTGTAAGAACAGGAATACAATCTTATTCTTAAACCAAGCCCAACTCATAGTAAACATTTAAATCCTCCCATAGACATCTTATTTTCAACTGTTTTACATATAGTATTTTTAGTCCATCTCCACAAAGCCACAATTAACTGACAGATTGCTATAAGAGTCTTCTTCAGAACAGTAAAGTGTTCTAATATGCTATGATCACATTATTCACATTTAATCTTTCAGTAGTTTTCCATTCCAGTCTCAATCCCATTTTATTAAAAACTAAGAACAGCTGGACATGGTGGTGCACGCCTTTAATCCCAGCACTCAGGAGGCAGAGGCAGGTGGATCTCTGTGAGTTCAAGGCCAGCCTGGTCTACATAGTGAGTTCCACGACAGCTGGGGCTACAGAGAGACACTGTCTCAAAAAGACCAAAAAACAAAAAAACTAAGAATAAGCTGGGTGTGGTGGTGAATGCTTTTAATCTCAGTCCTTGGGAGGCAGAGGTAGATGGATCTCTGTGAGATTGAAGCCAGTCTGGTCTACATAGGGTGTTCCAAGCTGCTGGGGGTATAGGGGGACCATGTTTAAAAACAAAACCAACCAAACAAAAAACTCCCCAAAGACTAGTAATACTATTTCATCAAGATTTCACCCTAAAGCCAGGCGTGGTGGCACATGCCTTTAGTCCCAGCAGAGGCAGGCGGATCTCCACGAGTTCAGGGATAGCCTGGTCTACAATAGCGAGTTCCAGGCTAGCTGGGACTACAGGGAGACCCCGTCTCAAAAAAAATTTTTTTTTCACCCTATCCTTCTACATCCCTTCTATATATGTTTCAGAATACCCAAAACTTCTTTCAATATTATATTATACAACATATAAAATTAAGTATATAATTCTATAGCCCCTAGACTAGGCCTCTGTGCGTTATATTCTAGTATTCAGTGAATACTAAGAGAGAGCTAGCCTAGGAAAAATTAGAAATTTAGGGGGCTGGAGAGATGGCTCAGCGGTTAAGAACACTGGCTACTCTTGCAGAAGACCTGGGTTCTAATCCCAGCACCCACATGGCAGCTAACAACTGTCCGTAACTCCAGTTCCAGGGGATCTGACAGCCTCTTCTGTCTTCTGCGGGCATTGTACAACACGGGTGCACTTACCTACATGCAGGCAATACACACATACACATAAAATTAGAAATTTATTAAATATTACTATTTTATTGTGTATATAATGTGCATAAGTGTAAGCAAACACATGCTACAGCATGCTTGTGAAGATCAGAGGACAACTTTCTTAGCTGGTTCTTTCCTCTTCCTTTACCAATTTTCTAGGGATCAAATGGGTTGTCAGGCCTGAGCCACAAGCACTCTGAGTCATCATACTGACCCTAAAAAGTATTTTTCTGAGGCAGACCCTCAACTATGAAGCACATGCTGCCCTTGAAATCACTGTGTGGCCCAGGCTGGTCCTGAACTTGTGATCTTCTTGCCTCTTGAGTGTTGCCCCACCTTTAGTCCCAGCACTTAGGAGGCAGAAGCAGGCAGATTTCTTTGAGTTCAAGGCCAGCCTGGTCTACATAGCAAGTTCCAGGCCAGCTGGGGCTACAGGGAGACCCTGTCTCAAAAAGACCCCTGTCCCCCCAAAAATGGCTACTAACAAAGGATCCTAGGAGCAAAATATATACCAATACGTAGCTGTAAACTTCAAAAATTTGTTTTGTGGACAGAATAACTGAAGGTACCTCATGGCACCCACGTTTAAACTGATAGCTATATAAATTAAAATACAAAGAATAAAAAAGAACGTAACAAAATCTTATAAAGACAAGGTATATAGTCAATGAAGAGTTTTAACAACCAAAATATTTCTTACTGGCTGTAATGGCTGAGGCTGCCCTGGTGCAACTATTGTAGTCACAGCTGCAGTTGGCTGTACTACCACTCCTTGTGGGTGAGCTGTGAAAATCTGCTGTCCCTGGATATACTGAAGACTTGGCTGGGCATAACTCTAAAAGACAAAATGGAGAAAGCCATAATTTACATTTCACTGTATCTTATTAAAGTAGTAACTCCCGATTTGATACAAGTTTAAGAAGATATTCTATTAAAACAATAACAACAGTTTTCATATGTATATTTGGATTCGAATGTGTAAAACAATCTTTTGTTCCAACATAAAGGTTTCTTTTTTGAATAATTATTTATGTTGATCTTTTATTATCATAAGCAAATATAAACTTTTCTCCTTTCTTATTCATAGAAATTGTGCAACTATTTAACTTTCAGTGAGACTGGAATGAGGAGTGCTGTTCCAGGGATATATACTCTTCATTCTGCTCTTTTCAGGAATCTTCCCTGCCCCTGGCTTTGAGTTCATAATTCTCCTGCCGCAGTATAAGTTTTGAAATTATAAGTGTATACCACCATATTCAGCTTTAGTGAGGTCTTTCACTACCAACTAGTGGCAACTAACATTATTTTGACACAGTAAGGTCAAAGGCAGTGATTCACAGTACAAGAAGATAATAACAATTTTAAGCTTCAATTCTTTAATATTTTATTTGTTATTTTTATTTTTTTATGTGTATGAGTGTATTGCCTGCATGTATGTAAGTGCACCTGTGTCATGCAATGCCCAAGAAGGTCAGAAGAGGACATCAGATCCTCTGGAACTGGAGCCACCATGTGGGTGTTGGGAACTGAACTCAGGTCTTCTACAAGAGCAGCCAGTGGTCTTAACTGCTGAGCCATCTTTTTAGTCCTTTCAATTCTGTTTCTATAGCTTTAGGAAATCTTCTATAACACAACTCTTACAAAGATAGAAGAATTACAGGGCTGGATAGATGGTTCAGGGGATAATGGCACTGGCTGTTCTTGCAGAGGATCTAGGTTCAGTTCCCAGCACCTACATGGTAGCTAACAACCACCTGTAACTCCAGTTCCAGGGAATTCAATGCCTTCAGGCATTGCATGACACAGGTGTACTTGCATACATACAGGCAATACACTCATACACATAAAAAAATAGTAATAAGCCAGGCATGGTGGTGCATGCCTTTAATCCCAGCACTTGGGAGGCAGAGGCAGGTGGATCTCTGAGTTCAAGGCCAGCCTGGTCCACACAGTGAGTTCCAGGACAGCTGGGGCTACAGGGAGACCCTGTGTC